AGGTAAGCAAATGGCACGTCTCAGTGAGGAGCTGCGCCAAGCAGAGGTGGCTGGCCTGCCTGCTCTACGTCGGCTGTCTCCGCCCCCACCCGATAAAATGGAGGCAGCTCTGTTGTGGGCGCCTAGCCTGGTATGGTAGGCGGGAGCCAGGCGGGTGGGGAGCAGTCGTGCTTCACTCCGCAAGTGGGGCTGGGCTGGGGGTGACTCACAGAGCTCGCAGAGTTGGGCCGGTCCCGCGCGTTCCACTCCCTTTCTGTGCCGTTTCTGCTGGCTTACTTGGCCTTTGTTTTCTGGGCTGCTCGCTCGTACCTGCAGCAGGGCTTGGGCGCTCTCAGGAGTCTTCTTTTGTGTCGGCCCTAAAACCTCGAACCTGTTGTTGCTTGTTTGTCGTTGTAGGATCGTTGTTGAAAGAATTATTCACCTTTTGTTGGTCTTGGAAATGCAATTAATACTCTGGTATCACAGCGCACAGCTCTCAGGATCACGCTGTCTCCTGGCACGGCCGCTCCAGACCCGTCGCCATCTTGGAATCGGAACAGTTTGAATACCAGGGTTTGAAGTCACATTGTCGTAGACAGGAAGTGAGATAAGCATTAGTGGAGAGAGTGGATTTCATCCCCAGTGACACATTAGAATTGTTTGTGAAGGTTTTAAAAAAATTATCAGTGCCTGGGTCCCATTTCTATATATTCTGAGTTTCTTCTGATGTCATCTGTGGGGCCCAGAAGTCATATTTTAAAGTGTCCCAGACAATATTAATGGACAACCAGAATTAAGAACCACTGCCCTTGACTATTCTTTTAAGAAGTGTAAATAAACCCCCATAGCAAGCATGTGATGAGATGCTTAAAATCACAGGGAACTGGAGGACAAAATTCTTTTAAAGTGAAGAATCTTTATATTCTATTAGACTGGCAAGAATTAGAAGCTGAATAATGCTTTTAGGATGGAAATGGAGCACAGCAGCTCTTACATACCACTGGTCGGTAGGTAGATGGATACAGCCATTCGGTCAGCAGCTTTGCCAAATTAATTCCTTAGACATGCCCTATGACCTAACAGTTCCACGACTGGATATGCATCCCAGGGAATTTTTCCCACAGGGCCATAAGGGAACATGCACTAGCATATTCCATTGCAGCCTTGCACAGAACGGGAAGATTTGGAGATAATCTGAGTTGCCTTCACTGGGAAAGTAGGTTAGGTAAAATTGGGTGGACATACGCCAGAGAATATTATGCAGTCATCAGAATCAATAGATTAGATATCTAAAGTATTAACATGGATAAAAAACAATGCTTATTAAAAGATAGTAAATAATAAGAAATATGACAATTCCTTATATAAAAATATATACAAGAGGGAACACGCCCAGAGTCCTAGGCAGGAGCTGAGGGAAAGACGAAACGGAAGACTCCAATGGATTTCTTCCTCTTATTTATTCCCAGTGTTGGTAATAACAGCTAAGAGTTGTGTCCACCTAGTATTCCTTTCTTTGTCCTTTCCAACCATAAGTTCATTTGATTTTTTTTTTCTCATTACTAAGGCAGTGTGTGCTCATTACAAATATGCCAGAAAAACTGACAAGCAAAACTAACAGAAAGAAATCATTTTGGAGCCTTTTTTTTTTTTTTTTTTGGCCGAGCAGTGTATTCTAAACTTCTTTTATGAGCAGAGACATTTGTGCTACTTTATTTTTAAGGGCTGCTCAGTGCTCCTAATACACATACACCATTATTAGTGTGGCCAGTCCCCTTCTGTTGGGCATCAGTTGTTTCTAAATTTTGCTACCTCAAGCTGCAGTGAACAAACATAAGCTTCCTACCTGTGAAGACAACTTTCTATCCTTCACTTGGCTCATTTTTAAAGGAGGTTTAAAGATTGGATTTGAAATTGTCTAATGAAGTAAAAATTCACTCAGCATCACAGAACACCAGATCTCCTTGGGACTGTTCTGGGGCCAGTCATGAAAGAATGAAGGAACAGGGTCATTCCCCACTTTTTGCACACAGGGCACAGTTTAGGCCACTGTCACTGTGCCAAAGTATAATAAGGGTTCCCTGTTTTCTCTACTTTAATCAATTGATACACAATTAGTCACATAAACTGTTAAGGGAGCCCATGTGGGATGTGCGCATTATATCACATGTGATGATATAGGCAGGTGGTGAAATAGGAGGCACTGAGTTTTTAGAAAATTGCAAGGAAATCACTGTTTGTGTCAGGGGACCAAAGTAAGTTCTTAAATTTATACCCAGTGCCAGAGTAGGGAACAGCACAAGCAAGCCCCAGGGAAAACACAGTGTGCTTTTCTGAGTACTCTCTATCCCCCGAATCCACCAAAACCAGTAGTTTTGAAGATTTAATTTAATCCTTCCAATTGGTAGGTTTAAGCATGAGAAATCCAGTGCCAGTGTTCCTTCAGGCTTTGATCGTCAGGAACTGGCCAGGCAGCTCTGCAGCCAGCTTGTCAGTGTCCTGAAGAAGCAGCCTGGATGTTGGAGACAGGTCCTTTCATGACAGGAATCCACCAACATTTTCACATCATTAGTGCGGCCTTTGTCATATATGGTAGCAGAAGAAAGCTTCTATCTTTTCAAACTAGTCCTTTGTTGTCAAGAAGCTTTGCATAGACATAGCTGTTTCCAGGGCCTGTTTCGAAGCTCTTGGATGTATTCTCCAGCCTAGTATATATTAACATATAACCATGTCCCAAAGAATTAGTGCAGGGCAGTGCTGTTCCTTTGGCAGACAAGGTAAACCTCCACATGAGTTACAGCTGACAGGGCAAGGAGAGCTAAAGGCTTACAAAATCCCTTCAGTGGCCCTGCTTAAAAACAGCAGTGTAGGCCATAGCTTAGTGTTTTGACAGCTTATATCAGCAGTTTTCTCTGATATATTGATTGCTGTTTGGACTTCAGTCCTGCTAATCTAATAAAACATCACCGTCATAACAGAGAAAGTAAAAGGTTCTTTTGCAGTCCCAGCCACTTGGTGAAGTAGCTTTACAGAGCTACTGTATAGCTAGCTCCACTGAAATATGTAAGAGAAAGTAACATTGGACAAGTCGACTAATTATATTTTTATTATTTAGTTTTTTCATCTAGCAATGTGCTGTTTATTAACACTATTCTACATATTTTTGCAAGTATGCATTTGTTCACAGGAATATGATGGTGCCCTCACAAATACTAAAACAAGTTTTGTGGATCAGTATCACAAACAGCCTAATACAATACTGTGTCCAACACTGCAATGCTCTTTACACTAAGTGGGGAAAGCACATACACGCAAAGTCAACTGAAGTCTGGATTAAGCTTTAAGATGTGTTATAAATCTTCTCATAATTTTGAATGCGTATTTTGAATATCTTAGTATCACCTGTCCCTCAATCCTACTCATGCTAACAATCCTTTAATTTCACAGCAATTGCTAACCATCCAGGAGGAGTTAAATAACAAAAAATCAGAATTGGAACAAGCAAAGGAAGAGCAGTCCCACACACAAGCATTACTGAAAGTCCTCCAGGAACAAGTAAGTGAATGGACCAGATATGATTTACAAATCAGTTCAGACACCCCGTGCACACCTCCCTCGTGTGTCACCCACGCCAACATTACAGAAGGTAACCTGCAGTGTAATAAGCCTGTACCCTTCAAGCCTTCCAGCAGCTTTGCTATGTGAAATTTATAATCTCATTCCCAGCATCACCATCATCGCTGCTGTACCTATTTAGATTACCCAAGCCCGCCAGCATTGTGTTTAAGTTTCTTCCAGAAGACAAATGAATTTTGAAAAAGTTTTAAAATATTGGCAATGCAGATGTATTTCAAAGTAAGCGGCTAGTTTCTCTTAAGTGTTAACAGTGAGGAAAATTAGTTTAGTATAACCCATGGTACTCCTGCAGACATGTGAACAAGAAAGACTGATTCATAGCAACATTAAAAAAAAATATATATTCCCTGTGCATCAAGGCACTTATCTAACCATGGTGAGCAACAGACCTTTATATGAAGTTTGTAAATCTGATTGTTTCATCCTGGCTTTCTTGGATACAAAAGTGTAGCCTGACATTGATAAGTGGATTGGAAAGTATTGTCTTTCAGCAGGGTAAGATGGATCACTCAGCAGGCAGCAGGGTGAAATCTCAGCCCACTATCTACGCTGGAGGAGCCCAGAGAGCTCTTGAAATGCATTCCTATTTCTGGTGTTCACTTGCTGCCAACAGTATGATGAACGGTAATTAGGAGGAGAAAAAAATCATATATAGTAATCCCAACCTTCCGTGGGTAGTCCAAAGGAGGCTGTTTTAAAACTTTCACTCACACATAGTGGTTTATGAGACAGTTATTTATCCAATAAGTTCAAAGGTGATATTTTAGGAAATGAAGTGGGGAGAGTGTGACACTAGTCAGCTGTGACTCAGCCACTTTACAAGTGTTTTTCTAAATTTAATTGAATCATATTTATTGTACTTACTGGTGGCGTAGAGAGTTATACCTCAATAGATGTATACAATGTATGCTGATCCATTCAGGGTAATCAGCATCATTGCAAAACCCAGTCATTTCTTTGTGATGTGCACATTTGATCTCTTTTCTGGCCATTTGGTAACTTGCAGTCATTTTTTTTTAATGGTTTGGGATCAAGAAAATATATTTTTAGTTATTTTCCCCCAAGAGTATAATTGATGCATGAAGGAAAAAAGATGTTAGATAGTTTAACATTTTATAGCTTTGCAGAAAAATACTTTATAAAGCTTATCTTTACATGATTCATACAGATTCAATAACTTAAACTGAGGTTGAATCTATATGAGTTCAAATAAGATTGAGCTGAAAAATCTAGTTGACTATAGTCACAATGAGCTAGTGTCCAGGAGACCTGAAATCCCTGTCCTCCCCACCTTTCTGTTGTTAAAAGTCTCCCAGCAAAGCGGAGCTGATTTGGTCTAAATTTGTTCTTGATCAAACAGATAGAGCTCTGAGCTTTTGTTGTTTTCTGCTGTCCCTCTCTCTCTCCCTAATTTTTTTCTTTTAGATAGCTTTAACTAGAGCTGGGAGGAAGGAATTCCTCTCTTCTTCAAATGACTCAAATTCTTTATTTTGATTTCAAGTTCAAACCCCAAGCATAAAAATAGATTTTGAGTTTTGCAGGAAGTATCGATATGTTATGGCATGCATTTCTAAAGAGCAAAGCACACACATGGGCGTTGGTGAAACATCACACTTCACTCTCCATTACTTTGAAGGAAAAAAAAGGAGAACGTGAAGAGGATTCGGAACTGAGTCCTAGAAAATGCAACTGAGAAGGAAGCGTTTTCGAATCTGCAGTACTAATTTAAATGGGATGGCTCTTCCCAAGCAAAGGCACCAGGAATCCCTAAGTCTGAGGTGACCTGTGGCACCAGCAGCCAAACACATTTGGGTGCTGTTGCTACTACCAAGCCCCGATTGTTCTCACAGAGGGGCACACAGTGTGCACATTCTTTCCATCTGCCTGCAGACCCCACCCACACAGAAACACACCCTGCAGGACATACTTTACCTCCATGAGCATTGCCTGATGAGGCTTGCCTGGATTTGTGTAGAGTAACTACACGTGTGTACATTTTTCCAGTGCCTGCACAGACATGGCCTAAACAAATGGCCACATACATACACACTAAAAGATATACCCTTCTCTGAAGACTTGGGATTTTGTTGCTCCAAATGACTGCCCCTTGATGAGAATCCTGACAAGAAAGGATAGGTCTTAAAGGACAGACCTTTCTCAGGGTTGGGCCTCACCCCTTCCAGGGAGGGCTGGATCACTCCCTAATCTCTCCAGCCTTCCTTGTCTGCTAAGACACAGCTTCTCTAGGTCTCCCCAGGCTCCACTGGCTCCTGCCCTTCATTTCCTTTACAATGATGGCAGCTTCCCACATCTAGAGCTTGTTCACAAACCCATGTCAGACAAGACATTCAACCCCATCTGGGGAAGAGCAGCGGGTGGAGGAGAGAAGAGGGTGCAGGCCAGTGAGGGCCAAGCATCACTGGCCTGGAGCTCCAGCTGCAAGCCAGGTGCTGCAGGAGGAGGAGCTGCCTGTGGTCAGCAGAGGGCAGTGGGGTGAGCAGTGCCAGCGACACGATGGGGAAGGAGAGCAAACGGGTCACCTGAAGAGGGAGGCCAGAGGTAGAGGAGAGGGGATTTCTCTGAACGTGAGAAAGAGAGCCGCCGGCGTGTTCATGCTGGTAAACATGTAAAGGTGGAAGAGACTAACAAAATTGTCTTTTACTTCTGCCAAAGAAGAACTAAACCTTCTGAGCTGTCCCCCGTCTAACTCATGGAAGCACAAGTAATGGGACCTAATGTGGGATGAGCAGAAGGGATGATGAAGAGGAGGAAGATGCGGAACCCCTACAATGAGAAACCTTAAGCTAGAAGATGGGCTTCTGTCGTTGGTTTTTGTTTGTCTGTTTTCTAAGTTCTTATCTGCCCTGTGATAATAGATGGTCCTATCAGTATGGTTGACCATTTTCTTTTCATATATGTCATACATTACCAAAGCTCCCTTGTATTTGGTATGTGTAGAAACATCACTGATGTAGCCCTAAAGAACAGTGGGTGGATTTCTTTTTCCTTAAGCGGGAGTGATATGGAAATGAGCCAAAGAGTCTTTGGTCCATCATCAGCTATCCCATCCTTAATTTCTTCATGTCACTATTCCGTTGGCAAAACTGCTCTCTTGGCATGGAGAGGGTGTGGCTTTCTTGCTGAGAGTTTAAGGTTGCCTTAAAAAAAAAGCACTAAAGTTTTCATTCTAATATGCACAATTAGCCAGAAAAAAACAATGTTCTGAAGCAAACATATTGGTGGTATATGTGCAGTATTTCAAATTTTAAGTATTTTCCTACCATGAATACCTTATATTAGGCATAAAAAACAATAGAGGAGGTGCTGCTTGCTAAGCATAATAAGCCAGGAAGAAATGCTGGTCAAGAGCTGCACGGCCAGCTCTACCCTCTCCTTTTCTCTGTGCCTCCAAATAGCTGCTTTGACTCAATGTAGGATAAAATTCCAGTTAAAGGTTTCCTGAAATGTCCTGATAACTCATAAGCTTTCCGAGAGACAGGAGTGTTTTCAAATGTGCACTGTTAAAAATCTCATTTGAGAAATAGCTTTTCTTCTAATGCTTCAGTGGGCCAAGGGGATGTCTTTCCAGTTCTTCCTCTGCCAAAAGAAGCAAACCGTCTTGTCCTTTAGGCCTCCAGAGATGATGTCAGTCATTCAAATATGTTCTCAAGGAGGACATATGCAGCAGCACTACGGCATGTTAAAACGGCTGAAAAGACATCATTCATGAATAGTCGTTAGTATAATATCATTTAGCTGGTGGCAACTTGCAAACACTGCAGGCTTTAAATTAATAGCAATCCAACTAGGAAATGAAATCATTTATTATTCTTAAGAACCAGTTTTATACATTTTATGCCTATGGAATTACTTTCTAATTTTATTATTTAAAAAATAATGACCCAAACCCATTTACTTTTTGCCAGCCATCAAGCTTCATAAAATATTGGTTTCAAACTGGTTTCAGTAAGACTGCTTAGAATTCTGTGCTCCGTCTGTTTTACCTCATTAGAAGTTTTATAAAGTGCAACCTCAGATATCAATTAACAAGGTGATATACACCTAACAAATATGCTCGCTTATTCATTTGTTTTGTTTTGTTTTGTTTTTCCTTAAAATTTTGCAGTTAAAAGGCACCAAGGAATTGGTGGAGACCAATGGCCACAGCCATGAGGATGCAAATGTAGGTACCATACACTTGATATTTGTTCTTCTCACTCGATGTTGGTTGAACACACAGGGAGGTGGCACTTTACTAACATCAAGGAAATCAGAAGCCCTGCCTCTCAGCTGCTTAAGATTGTTATATAGGGTTTGGCAATAAAGTGTGGTAGACATGCACTGCTCTTGTTAGCTTAATTTACCAAATGTTAATTCAGAAGTACTTGAGCTAATCCCCACCATCAAAAATTCTGTCAGTGAATTTGTTTGAACCCTTTATACCAAAGCTATAAACTGATGATGTGTTGGGAGGCAAATGGAACGAGACCCAGCAAGAAAATAAGGTATATATTGCATGTGTATGTATTAAGTTTGCCTGCCGCTGAAGATGGTAATTAAATGATTGACGTGCTACAGAGGTCTCAGAGCAACCCTCTTCTCCCACAATAGCCCTTGATAGTGTACCTTTCTTCCATTTCTGACCTAGAACAGTAGCAGGTTGCATCCATCTTCTCGACAGAGTATAACTTATAATGGTACAAAATCCCAGTTAGCACCGTGCCTTGTTCCTTGAATATACAATTACCAGAATGTAGACAGGTATTCTTTTTGCCTTGGAAGTTCTTTAGTCTCAGATGGAATATTATACCACGTAGATCATTGCCTCTCCATATGTTTGATGGTTTTCTCCTTGCCTTTTTTTAATCTCTCTGATATCTGTATGTATTTGATTATCCTCACAGAAAATGCTTACTAGGAGGTTCTTTTCACATAACACAGAATCAGGCATGATAATGAATGCCTGATTAAGCTAGAGCTAGGAAAAATTATATATTTCATGTTCACTCTTGTTTTAATTATATACAGCAGAGAGCCTAATATTCAGAGTACCAAAAATTCCTCTTAATAATTATTGCTCCTACCCAGATATCTAACATATGGTGCTTATTGAACACCTACTGTGTTCCTGGTGCTCTGCTGAGTACTAGGGGGCTAGAAGAGGGGGGCGCAAAGAAATATAAGGCACCTTGTCTGCCCTCAAGGAACTTATAACCAAGGAATACACAGCGACATACAGGATGTGATAAGACTACAGGAAGGTGAGGCAGCTGTGATGTCATGTAGTTTGAAATCTGGACTGTGCTTTTTAATATGTCAGCTTGACAAGTTACTTAACTTCTGAGCTTTATTTTCCACATTTGTAAAACAGTGACAAAGCCTACCTCAACTTATAATATTGCAATGAGCTAAGGCTTATGAAAACCTTCGGGTATTGTTATTATGGTTTCTTTGTGCTGGATAATCAAAAAAGACTTCCTGGATCTGTGGGATTTGGGTTTGGCTTTGAAGGATGGATAGGATGGAGATAGAAAGCTGGAGGAAGAAGCTGTTTGTACAGAGCCCTCCACAGGCAATATTGGGACATAAGTAGAGTCTGTCTTCCCCCTCCAATATTTCATCACCCCCATCCTTACCCCAAGACCCTTCTTCAGGATCATGTCTTCCAGGCACGCATTGCTTCCACATTCTCAACCAAAGCTTTCATATCCACTCCACATGGGCCCAGTCCCTCTGTGCCTTCCAGGAAAGCTGCTGTCTAATCCAATAAGCCAAAGTGGCAGTGTGCCTCAGTTTCCTGGTCTAGGAAATGGGGATGCTATTTCCTACTTTTCCTTCCGTATGGCCTACTGTGAGAAGCAAATGAGATAATGGGTATGGAAGCACTTTGTAATTGTGGGGTTCTATCTGAGTAAGATGTTATGATTATAAACTCATCTCCTGAGTGGATTTAAATTAGATGATACATGTAAAGATAGGTGTAGCACAATATCCAGCCCATAGGCCCTTTTTTGAGAAATGTTAGAAGTCATTATTAAATGAAAAAAAGTGAAAGGAGATTACCTTTGAGGGCTTTTGTCTCTTTTAGAGGAAAGTTTTTGGATTTTAAAGAGAACTCTCTAGAGTCTGTGATGTGGGCTTCGTAATCAAATCAGAGAGGTGACCTTTGAGAGATGGGGCTCTGGCCAAGTAGGTGGGAGGAACACCACCTTGCCCAAGGTGGGTGAGATGTTTGTGAAGTGACAGAACCTGACAGTCCCTGCCAGTCACTGCTGGTGGCCACCTCCCTCTCTGGGCAGAGGGACAAGCTAAGTTTTACATTCACTGCCTCTTTTGTCAGGGGGTTCCCAGTAGGTGGACTATTCACTTGTCCTTTTCCTTTCTATCTGTAATTTTGTCTCCTTTTGGCAATTTCCTTAGCCCCTCCACTGGAGTTATGTGAAAGAAAAGAAACAAAAATCAATTATTTTGGCAATGCATTAGGAGCTCTAGCAAAGTATTTTGTAAAGATTTTTTTTTTTAATTTTATTTTGTCGATATACAATGTGGTTGATTATTGTGGCCCATTACCAAAACCTCCCTCCCTCTTTCCTCTCCTCCGTCCACCCAACAATGTCCTTTCTGTTTGCTTGTCGTATCAACTTCAAGGAATTGTAGTTGTTATGTCTTCTTCCCCCATCCCCCGCTTTTTTTTTTTTTGTGCATGTGTGTGAAATTTATTTATTTTTAGCTCCCACCAATAAGTGAGAACATGTGGTATTTCTTTTTCTCTGCCTGACTTGTTTCACTTCATATAATTCTCTCAAGGTCCATCCATGTTGTTACAAATGGCAATTTTCATTCATTTTTATAGCTGAGCGG